GCAATGGCTTGTTTCCCACCCCTGCTACCTGTCAGTTGATGTCTCTTTTCATCCGGTCGGGCACTTGGGGCAAGATGGTGGCTTCCGATATGGCCGGGTCGTTCCGTAGTGCCTCGGCATCTTAACACTATCTTTTGGGATGCAGACAATAATAGCCGCGCTCGTGCGGCCGTCTTTCTCTGCGTGGGTAGCTCAGGCGGTTCTCTTTTCTTGTGGGTTCCTAATTTCCTGGTTCTCATGTTCTGCCGTCTGACTGCTTTTTAGGGGCTTTCTTGTTGATCCAACAATGTAGTCTTCCTTCATCTCAGGTTTCATCGAGTCCGGTCGTACTGTGCGTAACCCGTCGAGCTACTGGACCAAGCTTCTTGGTACCAAGGCCACGATGATCATGCGCGAGGAGTGACTCGGCGTGTTCTTCTATAATGAAGGGATTCCAATAAACGGACACTTCCACAGGTCTCCGGCCGGGTGAATAGCTTGCCCTACTTTTATTTTTTGTAGATTGTTTCTGGGTTGAAAAGGACTATGGTCGTGCAGTAATCTTCTTACAATATATTGGTTTCGCAGTTTTCTATATTTCTCGGCAACTGAGTCGAAGATGAAGACTTCATCGCTTTAAACTCGCCCGGGACCGCGTGGTCGATCGTCGCAATGAGGCCGTGCAACACCGGTGGAAGGTCCTGCGCAAGGAGATCTTTGGGAGGACGTGGAGGACGAGGCGTCGGACGTTCTGGAGTTCATCCGTGACCGGCAGCCCTTGCCGTGGGTCCTGGGCCCACGCGGTCGTACACTCTCCTGGCCGAGATCGCCGAGCGGAAGGAGCGCATCGGTCGGGCAGTCAACAAGTTGCTGGGCGTGCATGCTTTGACTCGGGAAGAGCTCTGGCAGGGCAAGGAACCTCGAGCGTGCGTGCCTCCCGATCAACAGCCCAGAAAGCCGTCGTTTCCCAGGCCGCCCCAGCCAAACAAGCCGAGCTGCCCCCAAGTTAGCGCCCGTACCCGTGCCCAAGACCTCCAAGGCACCCCCGACGTTCTCCACCAGGCCGGGCCCTGCTACAGTGACACCACCCAAGGCCGAGCCCGCCAAGGCGGCACAGTCCCCCGATCCACCCCAACCGGTCGCGCCTTCTGCCCCGGACACTGCAGCCCCACCGAACGATCAGGCCAGTCAGCCCTCGGCCGGACGTCCCGACGACGTGCAGCAGAGGTTGGCCTTGGAGAGGGCGCGGGCTCAGGAGGAGCTTTCCAATGCGGAGGTCCTGGCCGCTCGCGCGAAGGTCGCCCGCATCGAGGCTCAGCTAGGCCGGGATGGTTGGGGTGGTTCAGGTAGGTTGCGTGCTTTACACTTCTTCCTGGCTTTCAAAAGTCTGTTGTCTAGTAAACGATTTAAACCTGTAACATGTCAAACTATCATTGCGTGCATGCTCTGCTTGCCTCGCTTCTCTT